TTTTTTATCTTTTTGAGACAGGGTCTCCCTGTAGCCCCAGCTGTCATGAACTCACTATGTAGACCAGGCTGGCCTTGAACTCAGAGATCCACCTGCCTCTGCCTCCTGAGTGCTGGGATTAAAGGCGTGCGCCACCATGCCCGGCTCAAATAGACTTTTATTTAAAAGTTATCTTGAACTGTGAGATGACAACACATTTACTAGAGATTATTTCTAAAAGGGTATTAAGGAGCCACATATTTCTTGTGAAAAACTTGGGGGAATTTCAAAAGGGCAAATATATATTATTTCCCTGCTTCTAATAAAATGGCAGTTCAATCAGGGAACAGGCCATGTCCCACTCCTCTGATCACAGGCTGCATTCTCATACGGAGCTCCTCAGTCAGAGAACAATGATGTAAGCTCCCTGCCCTCAGCTGCCCCTGGGGGACAATAGTGGTTACAACTGCATGCACTGGAGATGGAGATGGGGGACAATGAGTTGACGGTCATCACATCACTGAGTCACATCTGCAGCAGCTGTGCTCCATCACACCCACAGCCCACCAGGCCTGTTCTCTTCAGCCCACAGAGCATCCCAAGCACCCACTGTGTGTGTTGTATGTGGCTGGGCACTGAACACAAGGGAGAGGAACAGAAGACACAGCCCAGGTGCTAAACAATAAATCAGCAAAAAGGCAAGGAAACAAACCCCAAAGAATCATGAACTGAGGTGCGACCAACTTGAGGGGAAGTTCAGAAAAGGAGTAGGCAAGGCTACCTGCTTGGGCTACTTGGGGGTGACCCTGAAGCTGAGGCCTGGAAGCGGAGTTGCACGAGTCTCAGGGAGAGGAGATGCAGGATATGTGGAACTGCCCATGGAAGGACAGGTCAGGCAGGGGCCAGGAGCCACTAAGGGAGAGGGTGTGGGCCCAAGCAGGTTCTGGGACTTGTGACAAGGAAGTAGCTTAATAAATATGACACAGGCTAAGGAGAGAGATCAATGAGTACTGCATTTTAGAAAGTAATATCATCAGTGTAGGGTCAGCTACAGGTGAAGGGACTCAAGGGGAGAGGCCCCCGGGTACATGTATCAGAAGCAAGGGTCTAACTAAGCGGTTGTGAGACAGGGAATTGGGCTGGGTGCTGCAGACATGGGCAGATGTGGGAAGCAGAAGGCTCCTAACTAGAGGGACAGGCCCAGCCTTGAACTGACCCTGGACCTACCGACTATCTCTGGGTGTTCTGATGTACTTCAGGCCCTGCCCTGTAAGGGAGCAGAAAGCAAGTGCTTGGTGGGTCACAGCCAGTAAGTAAGAGGGGAGGGCTGTACACAAGTAGCTGCTGAGCCACACTCCTGCAGACCAGCACCCATGTCCCCCCTTCAGTTGCCTGCTGCTCAGGCCACACCTGGAATTACCTTCACCTCTTCCTTTCCTGTCAGAGCAATTCATAGCAAATCTCAGGAATCTACTTTAGGATGAGATCTAGGCTCTGACTTCTGGCTACTGCCACAGCTAGACCAGGGTCAAGTGTCACCGCTGCCCGTGTCATTGTGCCCTCTCCTAAGGAAAACAAGAGATCTAGCCCTTAGTTCCTCTCTGCAGCAGTGGGCATGATTCTGGGAAGACACAGATTGGCCCAGTCTACTCTCACGCACAAACTCCCCGAAAGTTCCCCAGAAAACACCAAGTGTCCCAGACCAGCTCTTTCTTAGCAGCTCCACTGAGCCTCCTCTCCAGGCTTCAGAATGCTCCTTAATCCTGGAGAACTAGGCACAAATATCCTACCCAGTGAGCCCCTTACCAGCTTCTCAAATATCTTACACTTTTAGTCTCTGTGACCTCTCCACAGCCTCCATTGAGGAGGTCAACATGCTGAATGGACCAACCCTTAAATTCCTAGGATGCATTCCTTCCACCCCCCAAAAAAAGGAAATCAAAACAGCTTTTCCCCATCTCAGAGAACAGCTGAAATGATTCAGCTTGGGAGGCCTCAGGGCCCCTTTTTGATGCAGATGAGAAGTCTGCTGATTTAGACTGACTTAGGCAGAACTCAGTCCCATGGGCAGTAATGCTGTGATCTTGTAGAAACCTGCATCTGTTAGGAGTCATTAATTCTAAGCACACACTTCCTAGGAGATCCCAGGAGCTTCTAGAATTCTGCCAAGACACTGGGCAAAAAGGAGCAAGTTCTTCAGCCAACTCCGCTGACAGATTCCTGCCAACCACCTTTATGAGAACATTTATGCCCACCTCCCCAGGACCACAGACCAATCCAGGGCAAGGGTATCAGAGGCAGTCAGACTCCATGTGGCAGAGTATCCACAAAGCAAACCTTCATACACGTAACTGGGCAGGCTGCCTAGAGATGCACGCCCAGTTGTTTCCATGCCCACTTGGGCCAGGGCACTGGGTAAGGAGCCCACATATACCAGGCCACAGGAAGGGGACTCAGCTGTCACCAGAGGATCGTAGGTGCTCCCACTGAGTGTGGCCTCGGGCCTGCCATGTTGGGTCCAGGACCCTGTCTGTGGCCTTCTTTCGCTTGTCTTTCTTAGGTCACTCTTTGAGGATGGAATTCATAGTACTGTCACTTATCCACTGTAGCTCCTGACCTGGTCCTGAAAGATTGGGCACAGCAAGGACACTGACCAGAGGACACACAAGAGCACTGCACTGACCCAACTATGGCCTCCACTGCCTCTCCCCAGATAAGCAACTTACTCAGGCCAGCTGTTTCCCCAGTGGGTCTCCTCCCTCCCTGCTTTTATGTCAGTTCAACCTTCAAAAGAAGGCTACACATACGCCCTTCAAAACAACCCTCTCTTCTGGGAGCCTCCAGCTTTCCACACCTCAACAGAAGCCCTCTCCCCTGTCTATGAAGCAGCCCTCCCCTACCTGCCTTCTGTCCTCAGTGAGCCAAGCAAGCCTCCTATCTATGTGTGGGTCTGTCTTTTGTGTCCTAAGTAGCAGAGGCCTCAGAGGCATTGGTCCAAGGAAGACCCCTACTCTCCTCACAGGAGCCTCTCACTGTCCTCTCACACTTTGGTGACCACTAGTCATAGCACTGTGTCTCCCTCTTCACCTCCACTCCATGTTGGACCTTAGTGCTCTATCTGTGGGATGTGGTGGTGCCCTTCTGTGAGAGAAACAAGTGGGCTCTGCCCAGCATTTGTCAATTTAGGCCTTCACAGTGACATTTTGGAAGACCCTACATTCAACTGGCATCATTCTGGCCCCTATGCCATTCCTATACCATGATGTTCCTGACTACCCACTTCTTAGCCACTTATGTTGTGTTTTTAAGAAATATACCTGTTCCCATTTCTATCAGTTGCCTGTGCTTTTCTTTGAGGCATTTCTTCAGTATGAAATAAAAGGCAAGGAGTTGTAAGAGTTCTGACTTTGGCATTCATGTGAGATTGCCCCTCCAGCTGATGGTAGACTCCCCTCTCTCAGCAAACCTTCATGCCAGTGCCTTTTTGCTGCAGAGCAGGGAGGTTGGTCCTCGTCCAGATTCTAACTTAATGTTGTTTATGAGTCAGAACTCTTTTCTTACTATGTGATTTTCATTTTTACTAGATCTGTGGACTCTTAGTAAATATTAATAAGCTGTATTTAATTGAGGAGCTACACACAACATTCAGACCACTGTAAAATTGAGCAGGGATCCCAGTGGAAGGACAGGAAAGCCAGTGGTGTTTGGCAGGCCTGCTTGTACTCCTCTCGCTACATGGAAGGGCAGTGCTGGGAGGAAACCTTCCTACTGGCTCTCCCCTTAGGATGGAACCAGAGCAGTCATGAACCAACATTCTTGCCTAACTGAAGTCTGCCCAGAAGACTGGCTTCTATCTTGCCTGATTCAGCAGTGATGGAATGGGGACCAGAGTCTGGAAGCTACTGAAAACAGACAAGTACCAGGTTAGGACTCAGTTCTGATGGCAGGTGCAGGGAATCAAGAACTGAGAAAAGCCAGAACTAAGTAGGAAAGACGTCCTTGCACAAAGCCACTCTACAGACACTGGGAGAAGGGTCACTTCCAGCTAAAGAAATAAATAAAAACAGACACATGGCCCAAAGAACTAAAAAACAAAAGCAAAAAAACCTTGTAGACACTGACCTTAAAAAATGCAGATCTAAGAGTGGCCTGACAAACAATTTAAAATAACTGACAGAAGGATGCTTAATGAGCTAAAAGAGAACACAGACTCTATAGAGTGTGAAAAGACTGCAGAAACGGATTGAGATTATCAATACAGAGAGAACTATACCATCAGAGATCCTGTACATGGAAAGAAACATCTGAACAGAAGAGCTTGGCTGGAGGGTCCAGCAGAAGAACCCGCTGGCTTGAAGCAACAAGTCATTAGAATCATCAATGAGTAGAGAATAAAGAGACAAACGAGGAGAGGCAGGGGGTTAAGAACACTGGAGCAGAGCAACACTAGGAGTCCAGAAGACAGGGTAAAGAGACGAGGCTTTATTGATGATGAAAAGCTTTCCAAACCCAAGGAAAGAAAGAGATCATGAAGATTCAAGCTCAAAGAGCCGAAATGAGCGTAAATACAAAGTGACAGTGAGCACATCTCCGTCAAACTGTCTAAATCAAGAAACAGTGAGCAAAATGTCCGTGCTCACACAAAAGATTTTCAGTGGTTGTCTCAGTAAGAACTTTGCAAACCAGAAAGGAGAGGGGTGATGCATTTCAAAAGCTGAAAGAAAAAAAGCCAACCAACACTGCTTCAGCTGGCAAACTGTCCTTCACAGACGAGAAATTATGACCTCGGTGAACACAGTGGGCAGTTTACTACCACTAGACCTTACAAGAAATGCTGAAGGGAGTCCTTCAAACTGAAGCATCAGGATAGTAGATAGCAACATAAAGCTGCATAAAAATGCAAGGCTTGCCGGGCATAGTGGTGCACGCCTGTAGTCCCAGCACTTGGGAGGCAGAGGCAGACGGATCTCTGTGAGTTCAAGGCCAGCCTGGTCTACACAGTGAGTTCCAGGCCAGCTGGGGGTACAGGGAGACCCTGTCTTAAAAAAACCAAAATAAATTAGTAAGTTTTAAAAAAGTATTTGTCTCATTATAAAAAAAAAACCCAAAAAAACAAAAAACCCAAGGCTTTCCTGTGAAGGCAAACACATGGACAAATAAAGTAACTTGAGCTATTACATTTCTTAGACAAGGTCTCACTGTGTAGTCCAGCTGGCCTTGAACTCAGGATTCTCTTGCTTCAGCCTTCTTCTGAGTGCTACAATCAGGTATACACTACCACACCTGTCTTGTGATTTTATAATGATAGATCTATGTAAGTGGGTACACAATATACAAAGAGGCAATTTATGACATTAATTAAAACATTTGAGGGAATGGAGTTGTAAAGAAGAGTTTTCATATATACTTAAAGTCATTATCAGTTTAAAATAGAATGCCATAACTTCAAGATACTTTATATAATTAGAATTGTAACTACAGGAAGTAGCTGAAGAAAATACACAAAAGAAATGAGAATCCTATCACTGTATATATAAAAAAATTACAGAAACTCAAAGAAAGGTGGGAAGAGAGAGTAAATCAGGGAAAAATAAAACTAAAAGCCATATAGAAAATAACAGGAGGGTTAAATCTCTCCTACCCAGAATACCTTAAATGTTAATGGATTAACCTCCCCAATCAAAAAGGTTGACTACGATAATATAACAGATTAATTATATAATTAAGAAATTCATTGCAGAGCTAAGGATACAGGTATGAAAGTTAAAAGATGTAAAGAGATATTTCATGTGAAAGATAAGCAAAGGAAAGCAAGAATAATTATACTAATAACAGACAAAATAGGCCTTAAATAAAAAACTAAAGATGAAAGACAGTATAATGATAAAGGGGATTCAATTTGCTAGCAAGATAAAACATCTATGGAGCCAGCAAGATGGCTCAGTGGATAAGGGCACTTGTCACCAAGCCTAAACACCCACGTTTGATCCCTGGGACCCATATGGCAGAAGGAGAGAACTGATTCCCACAAATTTTTCTCTGACCTCCACATGCCCTACTCCCCAAACAAATAAATACATGTAAAAAGACTATGAATATTACATAGCAAGTCATAGGACGCCTAACTACATAAGCAAACTATGGTAGGATCAAAGGAGAAAATAGCAAAATAATAATGACAGGAAACCTCAATACCCCAATTGGTCTCTACAATGGGCAGTCAGATAGAAGATGAGAATGGAAAGAATGGATTTGGAACACTATAGGAGAGCTGGACCTAACACAAACACAGAACACTCCACCCAAGTACAGCAGGCTACACAAGCGCACCTAGAACATTCTCCAGGTCAGACCAAATATCAGTCTCAAAACAAGTTTTACCAAAGTCAAGAAAAATTAAATCATACAAATATATTTCCTCTCACAAAAGAGTAATAGTATAAATCAACACCAAAATGAAAATTGAAAAGTTAAACTATATGGGAATGAAACATCATGCTCTGAAGCAACCCACAAGTCAAAGAAATCACAAAGGAGGTAAGACACAGGAAAATGAAAACACAGCATCCCAAAATAATGAGGCACAGCAAATTCATATGAAACCTCCAGGAAACCTGGGAGAGCCAAAGCAATTCAGAAAAAAAGATAATGTTGAAGGACTCCTGCTTTCTGATTTCAAATTAGTGTAAAAAGGACGGCAATCAAACACTGCCACCCTGGCACAGACAACAGAGCAACAGAACAGAATGACAGTCCAGAGACAGACCCTCGTGTACATGGTCATGATTTCAGCAGGTAACAAGGCCACTCCACAGGCAAGAAGACACTGCACCACCTCAAAGGGTTAGGACTGTAGTCACACCAACTGTGGAAGGATCTCTGCAAATCTAGAAGAAAAAGGCAGAGCTGGAGAGAGGGTTCAGTGGTTAATAGCACTTGCTGCTCTTGTAGAGGACTTGGGTTTGCTTCCCAGCACCCACATGGTGGCTCACAACCACCTGTAACTCTAGTTTCAGGGAATCTGACACCCTCTTCTGGCCTCTGTGGGCATTGCACACATGTGGTGCACTTATATACAGACTGACAAAACACATAAAAAAACAGAAATCTAAAAAAAAAGAGCTTCAAATGAAAGATATCCAAAGACAAATGGGCAAAGGACATCAAGAGGCAATTCAGATAGTAAAAATAGTTAGTAGTGCACATCTACTGGAGGACATGCTCAGCATCCTCAGCAGAAGAGGAGCACAGGAAATCCCAAGGCATTCGTTTACAGAATGTGGGGGAAGCAAACTAATGTGTGGCTAGCATGGGGAAAACTGATGTGACTGCAACCTGACATCCTCGGCGAAGTCACAGGTGTGTGGCTCCTAATATAAACTCTCAGAGCTCTAGCAAAGGTTTCATAATGAGCTTCCCAAAGCACAGCTGAGTGCAGGTAGAAGGCAGTCAAAGGAAACCCCAGTGTCCATCATGATGGGAATGGTCAATGACTACATCAGAATATTTGTAAAGCCAGAAGTAAAGACACACACAGAACAAAGTCATAGGATAGAATGAAAGTGAGAAGCACATGATAGGTCTTGGAGCTTAATTCACTCCTATAACTAACAATGCACATCAACACAGAACGGGTCTTAGAGCATATTTCACCTGTATAACTAACAATGCACATCAACACAGAATGGGTCTTAGGGCATAATTCACCCCTATAATTAACAACACATATAAGCACAAAGGCATACCTGATACACAACACTATGTCTCCATGAACACACACATGTGCACATGCACAAACATAAAAGTCACTGGAGGGTAGACTGGAAGGACATAAAGAGTAAACACATTACAGTGGGCACAGGTAGAGTATCCTGGAAACCTTCCAGATTTTGGAGCATTTGGATTTTGAGTTTTCAGATTAGGTACACTCAACTGATAGAATCTATGCAAATATTTCAAAATTAAAAACCCTCCAAAATCTGAAGCACTTCTGGTCTCATAGACTTTGAGCTAAGAGATATCCAAGCTGCACAGTACTGAGAAAGAACAGGCCAAAGCACACACATGACTAACCCAGCTCCGAGTCCCTGGGGCTGTCCTATAAGACCCATTAGAGAAAAATCAATGCAAAGAGTTTACAAACAACTGAAAAGATGAGAGGTTCCTAAGTGGATGACTGGGTCCCATGCCACCTGTGAGATGTGCCCCCTCAAGCCTCATTAGGGCACATGAGGTTGGATATATGATCCATCTGATATGAAGAAGAGAAGACACACATGCAGTGTCTGAGTCAATTCCAACCACTTCTGGATAGGCAGTCCAGAACTCTCTGGTGCCACACCAGGGTTCTGTATAGGGAGGTTTAATTGTATATGCACTTGTACTTTTGAATGCTTTCCATCATCTGCTGAAAGCACTAGCTGAAACATAAAAACAAAGGAACCAAGATTAGCATCTGAAGAAGTGGGCTCTCTAAGATCTGACCTGGATCTAGGCTCCCAAGAGAAGATACTTCCCAAGCTTGTGGTAACTAGAGCAGTGTGTTCAGTGTTCATGGAGTGCTATACTTGGCTCAGGCCCCCAAGGTCCAGCACGCCTGGGGGCACTCTGCACTTAGAACACAAGGCCTGGGATGGTTTACATTGTTCTAATTGGTCAAGATCAATCACCCTTTGTTAACAAATGGTGCTGTGGCCATGGAAGCTGACAAGGAAATGCTTGTGTGTTTTCCTCTAGTAGCAAACTGTTTAAAATGCCATCACCTGTAGAATATCCAACACATCAGCTTAACTCTGACACCATGTTCAAAACGACATAATAAAAGCAGGTGGCGTGGGAGCACTGAAGCACCTGTGTAGAGCTTGGTCCTTCAGAGAACTCTTAGAATACCTTCATAGGGAATGGAGTTAAAATCTAAATTATTTTGAAAAAAGGAAGTTGAAAAAGGTCTTAAAAGACTCTCAAGTGCCATGATGCAGTGGGTGGCCCTTGTGGCCTTACCGTGCTATCTTGTCACTGCAGGACATGGTGAGCAGTCGTTCTCCCTGCAGTACCCCATCCCAGGTCTGGATGCTGGCGTTTGAGCGCACAGGGATTGTCCCCTCACCAGACTCTATTTTTGTCCGTAGCTGTCCCCTTGCTTTGCGATTTGGATGTCTATCTGCTGGTTCTAAGAGAAAGAGAGGGTTCAAAACCCACAGGTGGTAAAGCATCTAATTTTACTGAAAAGCATATCTAACATTACACCATAAATTTAAAGTATAATTTATACATATGTATGCAAACATTTATGTTATCTATAGAAATATACATACCATGTAAATTTGTCAAATTGAGCTGAAAGGATATAATACAGACCAAATTCATGAGCCCGGGCAGGATCCTTAGTGGTTGAGGAAAGGCTCATTTTGCCTGAGATGATTTCTTTCTACCATTAGCAAGTGAAAACAAACAGGGCAAAATGCTAAGATTTGCTAACTCTGAATGATGGTTACTTGCGTGCTTATCATAACCCTTGTATTTTTCTAATTTCAAAAATAAATCTAGACAGATGCAGAAATCAATCCATGGGAGGTTTTCAAAGATACCCCCCGCCATGATTAGCCCTGGGTTATATATGGGGGATTTAAATTTTTTCTTGTATTTTAAAAATAGCAATTCTCAGGGCTGGAGAGATGGCTCAGTGGTTAAGAGTACTGACTGCTCTTGCAGAGGACCCGGGTTCGATTCCCAGCACCCACATGGCGGATACGGACCCTCCTTGACTCCAGTTCCAGGGGAATCTGACTCCCTCTTCTGACCTCCACGGCATTGCATGACATGGGTGCACTCACATACATGCAGGCAATACACTCATATACATAAAATAAAAATTAAAAAAAAAGCAATTCTCTACTGTGAGTTTGACTGTTTCTATAATTAAGGAGAATCATGTAATCAAATATTCCATTTGGAATACATAGTGTTAAGTGTGGGAGCAGACATGTGGATACAAACTGTTCACAGCCAAAGCTCTGGCCTGGCCTGAGAAGGTGGAGCGAATGTGGTAGCAGGGCCTTGCTTGTTTGCGTCCACCTGCTTCTCAAGAGCAGCCTCATGCTTCAGTAACACCTTTGTCAGTCAGAACTCACTGGAAATACAGAGGCCCACTAGAGAGTGATTAAATACCTGATATGCCTTTCCCTGCATTCTAGTTACTTAATCAGAATTAGCACCTTTATGTAGAATTGACATTTTTAATTCATTAAAGTTTACGAACTGAATGGTTAATTGGGACGATTTTTACAGGGAGTCTATCAAATTCATACCCAGGGCTGAAATTTAACAAAAGAAAACAAAGAAGAAAAAAAGAGAAAGACTATCAATATGTGCTCTGCCACTCTGTTTACTTAAAAGTCTGTCAGCTGCTAAGACTTGGCCTCATACCTTCTAGCACTGGCTCGTGGGGAGAGAATATTCTGGCATCTCCGCATGGCGAGGTGCTGATGTACAGGTGGAACTGCACGGTATCCTTCAGTCGGAACCCACCCCGTTCTGACTTCTGGAAGACGGACCTTCTCTGATCTTCTTTGCTACTGCGAGGGAAAAGCCACAAGAGTGACGATAAGAGCTGCGCGCAGTGAACGTGTGGCCTCCAGAGTGCGTCACGGTGATTTTCAGGGGTCAGTATTTTAACACTGGGAGAGATGAATTTTCTACAGACAGTGCCTTGCTATGTATACCATGCTGGCCTGGAACTTGGGATTCTGCTGTCTCAGCCTCCCTAGTGCTGGGATGACGGGTGTGTACCATTATGTCTGGTCTGAACTGGCATCACTGTTACGTGCGTTTATGGTAATCCATAGTTCAGGTCCACTCAGTAATGGATATGTCATCAACTGTGACTGTTCCTTCTCAGGCATAACTTCAAGGCAGAAAAACCACATGAATGAAATGGCATTGCCAAGAAAAATGGTCATCTACAGCCCCGACCAGGCACAGAGACGAGAATGAAAATGACCTTTCTCAGGCAGTTTAGAAGAAGGCCATTTATAGTCACACTGCATGAAACAAAAATCTTAAACAAGGACTTGAAACTTAACGGCCATGCTGTTTCTGTGTATGTTTATATATAGGCATGCATACACATACATGTGTTTATGAGTTAGTTCATTCTAGTTCATAACTGAGACTTATGGGAGAACAGGATACAGCAGGAAATCATGGAACAGGAGGACACAGTGAGCATCGTGGGAGGGTGGGAGTCAGCTCAGATGGCATCACAGGACAAGGCTTAGTGCTCCTCACACAGTTACAATTTTGAGAACTCCTCAGTGTTTACAGCAATAAGGGCAGGCTATGCAATGTTTCCTGATAGAAGGTATTCTAAAAATAGCTTCCTTCACGTGTTTACTCCTAAACTTACTTTAAGTAAAGCTCAAGCTGTGCATAAAGAAACCTGAGCAGGGACCTTCGGGAGATTATCTCTGCATGGCAGTCATTTAGTGCAAGGCCACGGTCACTCATGTATTCACCGTTGATACATTTCGTCCCTGTCGAAACACTTATCACCTTGGCATCTTTGACGTCTGTACCTGAAAGACAGGAGAGTGACTTTGGCAACTAATGGAGACACTGGCCTGTGTGACAAGTGTTCTCAGCAACTGGACCATTCATAGTCTGCTAAGGATTTAAGCTTGTGGATTGAAGAGATGGCTCAGTGGTTAAGAACAATGGTTGTTCTTGCAGAAGACCTGGGTTCGAATCCCAGCACCCACATGGAAGCTAACAACTGTCCTTAACTCCAGTCCCAGGGGATCCGACGGCCTCTTCTGTCCTCCGCGGGCATTGCACAACACAGGTGCACTTACCTACATGCAGGCAATACACTCGTACACGTAAAATAAAAATAATAAAATTAAAAAGAAAAGTGTTTAAGTATTTGAGCTTGTTTTCACACGCCTTCCTACTGCCTGAGTCCTACCTGTGAAGCCTCTTCTGGAGGCCTCACTCTGCACCACTTCCAGGAGGCTACCCTGCTCACTTACAGTGTATACCCCAAACTTCATGCGGCCATTTCCACTAGGACCTTTCTTCACCCTTGACTACAGGCAAGGAGCACTGCATGATGATACTAACTGGCCTGGAACTAGTCCCTGAAGTCAAATATCAAAGCACTAAAGAGGTTAGATGAAGGACTTAAGGCTAAAGCATACTAAGAAGGAAAATTGAATTAGCTCCCATGTTTTCATTAGTAATCTGTCACCTTAACACCCTGGGAGTGAGATCACACATAGTATGATCTTCCAGAGAGGGAACATCCAGTATTCCGTCTTGTGTGATAAAGCACTGACCCAGATACTCTAGAAAGACCAGAATATGGACGAGAGTGTAGCTCAGTGTAGAATACATGTCTAACGTGTGTGAAGCCCTGAGTTCCAGCCCTAGAATGACTCTTAGACTCACAACCACTGAAGTAGATGAGTGTTACATGCTGTGATGGTTAGTGGTAATTGTCAACTTGACAGAATCTAGAGTCACCTAGGGGACGTAGCTATGGCTCCTCTGGGCATAGCTATGAGGGATTATCTAGGCTAGGCTGGCCTTTAGGTATGCCTACAGAGATTTTCTTGATCAGGTTAACTGAGGTGAGAAGACTCACCCTTCTCCCTGGGACGAGATCTTGGGTTGCATAAAAAGGGGAAAGTGAGCTGAACACTAGCATTCATCACTCTGCTTCCTGACTGCAGATACACTATGACCAGCTGCCTCAAGCTCCTGCCACCTGACTTTCCCACCATGATGGACCACAACCTCTTAACTAGAAATAAACCCTTTCTTCCTTAAGTTGCTTATACCAGGGTATTTTATCATAGCAGCAGGAAAAGTAACTAAGACACCTGCTATGTAGGAGGCCCTGGGCCAGGAGTGGTAGCAAGTTACCCTTACTGCATGTCTTCCGTGTCCTTGAGGAGCCCCCGTTTCCATTTACAGAGAGGAAGCTGCAGCCCACAGGGGTTAACAGTCTTCCTGAGGCCACTCAACCAGTGACAGCACAGGACCCACGTGCCCAGTGCTCCCTGTGCTAGCTGCAGACACACATTCTGGCTATGAGCAAATGGTCACACAGACACAAAGGGCTAGTCCCAGAGGTGATCAGCTTTTCTAGTATTTTCTATTTCTGGAACAGAATACTTAAGAGAACAATTTAACAGAGGAATTATTTATTTTGACTCACAGTTTTAGAGGTTTCAGTCCATCATGAAGGGAAGCTGAGGTGGAGCAGCACAGCTTAGTGCATGGTGACCGGAAGGAGAAAGGGAATGCCCATACTCACAGGCCTTCTGTTCTGTCTATTCTGTCTGGGCCCTAGCCCATGGGATGGTGCCATCCACATTCAGACTGAACCCCCTCTTTAACCTCTTCTAGAAATGCCTTATACACATACTTAGGGATCTGCTTCACTGAGTTCCTTGTGAAAATTTCTCAAGTCAATCAAGTTGATAAGATTAACCATCATAAGTTTGGCCCTTGTCAACTTGATACTCAAACACATCTCCTTAAAACATTTCAACTTAGGTCTCCAAAACATGTGTCCATCTCTTAATAATACAAAATGCATTTAGTTTACCTCCAAGAGTTCTCACAATATTAACAGATCCATCACTAGTCAAAAGCTCAAATCTAAAGTCTACTGAGATTCAAGGCAAAAATCTTAGCTGTGAGCCCCTGTAAAAATTAAAGCACATTTTACATACTGCCAACAAACACTCCCATTACAAAAGGGAGAAATGGGGTGTAGAAAGCCATAAGACCAAAGCAAGACCAAAACCCAGCAGCGCAGACATTAAATCCTGTAGCTCCATGCTGCAGTTGGGTGCTGTGGTGAATGCTAACTGGCTGTGTGGCCAGGCCCCTATGGCCTTGCCTACTGAGGCCAACATGGCCTCTCTCTCGGGCTGGCTTCATCTGCTGATGGCTTTCCTTGGAGATGTTCCACATTTCTGGGGTCTCCAACATCCTAGGGTCCAACCGTATAGATAGGTGACACATTTCCTGGCCTCAGCCTACCTTTTAGAGTTGGGTAGAAGCCTCCATGAACCCATAACCTGCATTTGCATACCTGCATAAAGAGTACTGTGTGGGCGATGTCAGGACTGTTGCCAGTTTAAATAGTGGCTTGGACCATGGCTCTGGTGGTCTCTGAGTGCCTGGGCAGTTGAACCTAGAGAAGCTCTTTCCTAAGTCCTGTAGAAGTAGGGTATCCTGGGCCTTTCTTCTCACAGCAGACTTTCAAATGAGTTAAAAAACCTTTTCACCCTTATCCAGGCTTGGTGGTACATGCCTATAATCTCAGTACTTAAGAGCCTGAGGCAGGAGTATTATCCACAAATCTGAGGCAGCCTGGGCTACATGGAAAGTTCTAGGTTAGCCAAAGCTATATAGCAAAACTGTCTTAAAAATAAAAAACAAGAACAAAAGGCAAAACAAAACAAAAAACCCCACAAGACAAAAATCAAACTGGATCAGAAAAACCTTTACAGTCTTGAGCTTGCAGTGGGTGGGGGGTGGGGTTCCTGACCTATCTCAGGCCCTCCCCATTCCTACTGCCCCACTGTGAAGCACCTGAGTTCTCTTTAATGGCTCCAGTCTCTCCAGTAGTACTTTCCTCTCTGCTTTAGTTCTCAATTCTCACTGTAACCCTCATTAGGGCAGCCAACGATAACTACCCTGCAGCCCAAATGCTTCTTTAGGCCTACATCTCTAAACTCATAAAATTCCCCCCATAAACCACTTCCAAAGTCTTCTGAACCACGTGGTCCAGCAGGCATGGCAAAAACCCCACTTATCTGGCATTGATTTTGTGTGTTAGGAAAAAAAAAAAACAACAACAAAAGGGAGGAATTATTTAGTGTGCCTCAGCTCCAGTGCATCATGGTGGGGAGGGTGTGGCAAAGCAGTTCATGTATGATGGTGATTAAGAAGGGGGGAGGGAGAGAGGAGGAAGGAGGGGAGGGAGGGAGGGAGACTTGTAGTAATTTATCACCATTCATTATTATGCTCTGGAAATGCCCTTTCATAGACACCCTGAGGCATGCTTTACTAATGTCCATGAATTTCTGATTCTGTAAGAGTCCCCCACCTCCTCACAGGAGTCACTCTGATGCAGCAGTAGTGTCACTAATAAAGCAGAAAGGTCCAAGTGCCAACAGAAGCCAGAGCCAGCAATGTGCTATTTCCAGAGCAGACTGAGGTTGTAATGAAGATGAAAGGAGTCACATGCTAAATACAGCGTGCTTTCTCCAAAGGAGAAGACTTAGGTTAAAAAGTCAAACATAGAGGCAGTCGGATCTCTGTGAGTTCAAGGTCAGCCTGGTCTACATAGTGAGTTCCAGGCCAGCAAGGGCTACAGGGAGACCCTGTCTCAAAAAGACCAAAAAAAAAAAAAAAAAAAAAAAAAGTCAAACATTGGAGCTGGGTGAGGTGGCACACACCTTTTAATCCCAGCAAGCAGAGGCAGGTAGATCTCCTGTGAAATCAAGGCCAGCCTGATTTACATAGCAACTTCCAGGCCAGTTGTGGCTACAGGGAGCCTGTCTCTAAAAACAAAGCAAAACAGAAAAGTTGACCATAACCCCTGTCTCAAAACACCAAAAAAAAAAAAAAAGTAGAACATTTGGCAGGAGAAGGGCTTTGTTTTGTGTGGGTTTTTTTTTTTGAGGGGGGGAACAGTGCTGGGGATTGAACTCAGGGATTCTGTCTGCTAAGCATGTGCTCTACCCACTAAGCTATACTCTCAGCCTTGAGGAGGAAAAATACTTCTAAGGTTAATTTTTTTCTTTTTTTTTTCTTTTTGTCTTTTTGAGACAGGGTCTTCCTGTTGCACCAGCTGGTCTAGAACTCACTATGTAGACTAGGCAGGCCTTGAGCTCACTGAGATCCATCTGCCTCTGTCTCCCGAGTGCTGGGATTAAAGGCGTGTGCCACCACACCCAGCAATACTTCTAAGGTTAATTTCTATTACTTGAATAGGTGGACACATGAAGTCAAAAAGCATAACAAGCAATTTTCTGTTGGTGTCACGAGGGCTTTTCTTCCCTAGACTGAGAGTATATTATGCTTTCAACCCAGAAAGCAGACAGGTTGAACCAGTGCCAAGATGCTTACCTGTGGTCATCACAACTCCAGATAGCACTTTTCTTCGTGCATGAGGGGAGGAGAAGTTATCCGTCAGGTCACTGAACTTACCCAGGACCAGGCGTGAGACAGCATCTGCCAATACCTGGGTGAAGAGCAGAGGCCAAGTTTAGGACCAGTGTGTACCTGTGGCAGAGGCAGTCCCTCTCAATGTCAGCACATGTGATGGACTCTTGTAGACCATTTCTACTCTTGAAAAATCACACAGGTACATTCAACAAGTTTGTGTGTGTGTGTGTGTGTGTGTGTGTGTGTGAGAGAGAGAGAGAGAGAGAGAGAGAGAGAGAAACACTCAAAGACACATGTGTTGAAAGGATTATATAAGGCCCCAATTGAAGTCCTTTGCATGATGATGCATGGGAGGTGGTATAGACGGAGTATAAAACTCATACATGGGCTGTATTCTGATCTTCATGTACACAGCTCTGACCTCACATGAGGAAATCAAGGCACAGAGAGGCATGAGTGTTGTTCTGGTCACTCAACTGCCCATGCTGCTCTTCAGTATATGAGGGGGTATCACACTCACCTCTCCTGACCCTCCTTTACTGATAGTACTTTTAAAGGGAAGAAAGTCTCCTAGCCTGAGGCTTAGTCAGTTCAGGGGCTGCAAAGCAGACTGAGGGAGAAAGGGTCAACTTGGAGATGTGACTGGGTGAAAGAATTACTTCACACGTAGAACCTTGCCCTCAAAGGCACAATCGATGGTCCTGGGTTATTCTAGCATCTGTGCATATAGACATGCTACCTCAGCTCACTGGTTCAGTTGGGCATCATGAAGCAGTCACACTTGGATGGAATGAAACTATAGTGCATTAAACTAGTGCTCTGAAGAGAATCCGTTGGACATGACACTGGGAACACCTGCACCAAAAACAGCATATCTTGCAGGCTCAGATTTTGTCAGATTTGGGGAAGAATCTGACTTTAGTGGTTTAATATTTTTCCTAGAATGAGTTCAGGGAAACACTACCTGCTAGAAGAGAGTATCAAAAATCAAGACTGAGCCAAGTCCACAAATCTTATAATTGTCTAGACAATCAAATAGCCAGTGACAAATCTAAAGCCCCCAGCCTGGCCCTTAATAAAAAGACTCCCAAAATGAATAGAAAAGTCACTGAACCTAAAGGATGACTCATTTGGAAAAGACAGAGTTGGCGTATTATTTCCTTCCTATCACTATAGAGCAGACAGTGAGCTCCTAAGGGCAATGCTCTAGGTAGGACAAGTGGAACACGCACAGAGGGTGCCGGCCAGAGACTGCATACCCTCAGGGGAGCAGTAGATACAGATGTGAGCATAGGCAAGTGAGAGAGAGCAGACAGAAGCATGGGATGCATGAATGACCAGGGGCCACACCACCAAGGGTAAAGGACAATGCACCACTATTTACCCAGGAAAAAATGGTAAAAGGGGATGGAAAGCCAAAGAAATAATTTGTAAAGTAATTAAAAAATATAATTTAAGCAAGGTATGGTGGTGCAGGCCTTTAATCCTAGCACTCTGAAGACAGAGGCAGTTGGGTCTGAGTTCAAGGCCAGCCTAATCTATATAGAGAGCTTCAGGCCAGTCAGGGCTACATAGTGAGACTCTGTCTCAAAATCCCCATATACATATAATTTTAAAAGAGAGAGAAAAAGAGTTTGAATGAAAGTACCCCCCTATTTGCAGATAATGTTGTTCCCAGAAGCCACAGATTATTAAACAAAAACCCCAGAGCCAGGTATGGACTACTTCCCTATGAATTGGTGGTCAGGGAGGCTCCAGAAAACCTCAAAAGCAACACAGGTTATTGCCATTGCTCTTGACTGCCCACCAGAACTAGATGGTAAAGATCTGCTGAGGACACCACATACTTCAATTGCAGGACATAGAAAAATTAAGCTGGAACTGAGCTGGAAGCTCCCTCCCTGTTGGCTAACTTTCACAGTACCTAGAGGATGCTATGTAGGCTACTGGGGGAGAAAAGTCATCAATAGTCTTACCCAGCTAAGAATCTTGTGTGCTACAATACTAATCTGCCTGGCAACATGGGGCCACTAGTGCTATAGTGGTATGATTGTTGTAGGGTTAACCAATAACTTTATGCTTGGATTTGAGGCCTACTCTGCAGAAAGGAACTCATGCCTGATACTGAAAATCTAGTAAAAAACTCATGATTGGAGAGGTCATGGGCTCTAGAGGGGAAGCTGCTACTAACGTTTTGATGTAAATGGACATGTGGTCAAACTGCCCTGTAAATATTTAGGTTTATGCCCATAGATCAAGTTTCTTTTCCCAGTGTACAGTGGTGAATGCAGAGACCCCCTAACAGGCCACAGGAATGGGAATGTATGACTGTGGAGTGCTCAACCCTAAACAGGAGACATTATTAACCCTCTAAGGCTCATGGAACATGCAGAAGAGGGGGTGGGAAGAATATAAGAGTTGGAGGATGGGGAAAGAGTGCTGAGAAATGCTGTCTTCTGGACATGACATAGCAGCTATACCCACAGCAGCAGTGGTTACCTGGACAAGACCTGAATAAGACTAGGTCTCATGAACATTCCATTACGGATGGTGTACTAGTTTCTTTCCTGTTGCTGTGATAAAATATCCTAACAAAAGCAATCAAAGGAGAAAGGATTTGTTTGGCCCACAATACCAGGTTACAGCCCATCATTGCAGGAAAGTTATAGAAGCAGACGTTTGAGAGAACTGGTCACATTACATCAACAGTCAAGAGCAGAGCAGCGAGCTAATGTATGCATTCTAGTGCTCAGCTCACTTTTTCTACTCTAATACAACCCAGGAGCCCCTACACAGGGGGATTATGTAGCCCACAGTGGGCAGTTCGCCACCTCAATTAGCATAATCAAGATAATTCCCCACAGACATGCCCAAGGCGAAACTAATATAGAGAAACCTTCATTGAGACTCCTTTCCCAGGAGATTCTAGATTGCCTTAAGCTGACAATTAAAACTAACCATCACACTAGGGGAGGGAGGGATCTGAGGCCCCAACCCTCCCTAAGGAACTAGGCAGTTAAGCATGCTGGAGAAAAGGGGGTCACATTCTTCAGTGGGGTAGCCACTGACAGATTTCCCTTGCTCAAGTGAATAACCCCCACTCATGCTCATGAAAGCAACCCTAATTGAACACAGTGGATCACACAAAAGAAAAAGCCATGAAAGTAGGAGGTGGCTTGTTGGGAAGAAGACTGTAGAAGGGGACAAGAGAGAATAATATCAAAGTGTGTGTGTGTGTGTATGTGTGTAATTGTGAAAGAATAAATGTTTAATATATGAATTTAAAAGTTTCTATTTCATTTAAGGACAAGCACAGGTCCAAGTGGTCAGAGGGCTTTCCTACCCCTCACACCTGAGTCAGGTGCCTGTGTGGATGCACACTGTGAGACACAGGCAACTAAGGTACACGACAGCTCTCACTCTCTGAAAAGGCCTTACTATCTCACCCTGTGTGGTTCATGAAGCAACTTCCTTCTAAGTTTTGGGTTGGACATAGTAACAAAAGTAGAACGATCCTTGAAGTCCTAAAAATCCTGATTGCATAGTTCTAATCACTCATCTTCAGTGACATGCAGAGCACAAGGACACGCCTTACAGCTGATGCTTGGCCATACCACACTGACAAGCCCATTACAGCAGAGTGTTGCGGCTGTGGTGTGGACAGCACTGCCTGATTTCATAACCATCCTGCATGCTCTCAATTATCAGGACGCAGACAGTCCTCAGGCCAGGGACATTTGGCCCAAGCCCTTTAAGTGACACTTCAGGAAACAGCAAGGGTTTACAGCCATCTGGGGGTCACATCCTGAGTCCCTAATCCAAAGACAATGGAGCCCTGCCATACAGCCACTGGAATGGTCTTGGGAGGCTACCCTCAAAAGGTCTGAATGGCCTCACTCTGTGTGGTTCATTGGCTCTGGAAGCGGCAATGGTGGTTGGGCCACTGAGCAGAAGTGTGTGTGTGTGTGTGTGTGTGTGTGTGTGTGTGTGTTTGGGGGGGGTGGGGAATACAGCTATATATCCCTCATACTTGGTGGTTCTAGGCTATAGGTCCAGAAACTGGTGCTTGGTGCTTCAGAATCCAAAGAAAAGCAGTATCAGGAGGCAGTGAGGGGGCCTGCGTACCCATGCCCCTCCACATGACTATGTCCCAATAGACACCACCTGCCTCCCCTGGCCAGGAGCTCAGTCCTTTCCACACAAAGCCACCGAGGCAGCCGCTCCAGGGGACAAGGTTGAGGTCACCTGCTCTCAAGACATCTGTCTGCTGCCTCTCAATTGGGCACCTGGGATTCACAGCATCTGAAATGGTTTTGGTGGACTGGTTACCACAATCAATATTAAGAGAGGGCAAGTTGAATAAGATGGTATATTGAACTTAGGCCAAAATATTTTAGCAAATACTAAGCCTGAAATATAAGTCACTTGGAATCTAGTGCCACTGATTTGTAAAATAACCAATGAACCAGTTGTTCTTGGAGGGCTTTTAACAAGGGACTAATAGGGAAGCAAGCACTTGTCACAGAAAGTTATTACTTTACACTGATGCTGTACCTCGTTGCTTTAGGCAAAATAGAACAGCTTCTTCTTTTAAAATCAACTATGATCACCTCAACTCAAGCTGTATCACAGTCCAAAGAGAAAGGTCCACGCCTGAATAGGAGACTGCAAGCCTTCCCCTCCATCACATGTGCACCTTTCAATAACTCTGACCAAGTGCAGTGTGCTTTGCTTCCATATGGAAGAATGTTTTGACAAAAAGGAATTAATATAGAAGATGTAAAAATCACTTTTACAATGGATCAGTGAAAGTGGGGATTCCATGAAGAACCAAGTCAGAGCCAGCAATCTGGGACTCCATGAGGACTGAAGGCTCCTTTCTCTTCTTCCTCTCTCACAGACCCACCATGAGCCCCCCTGATACTTCCTTTCTTTACCCTGAGTTTTCGGAGAGGGGACAAACTTGAGTGGCACCCATGTCAGACTGGAGCAGTGAGAAGTCCACACAGATGTCACACAGGAAATCTGGCATATGGAGATTCCCACAACTGGAAGGTTCCAGAGTATCTGTGGACGGGTCCCTCCTTGCCACTCCCCCGACCCCGCACAATCTCCCTACTGTTCTGGGGTTCCTTACCTTAGGAACACAGCCACCAGCCAGCCAGGAAGCTGAGGCCCCCATCACCCTGACCCCCACAGGGGCCTCTAGCTACCGACTGACCAACAGTCCTTATTCCCTGTGCAATGAGTCAAAGGATGCACCACTGGACTAGACACAATTCAGCATTTGCCTCCCTGCCCTAGTCCTGATGAAAGCTTGTATGGGGTGAGGTTCCCTCTGTGGAGGAAGTCAAGAGAGAAAGGGATTGTAGCTACCCTGCTGGGGGCCGGAGGTATCCCTGCTCTGTACTGTTATGGCCCCAGTGAGCATCAGGGGACTAAATGGGCCTTTTGGTGATCATCTGACCTCACTCCATAGCCAAACTTACCAGTAACTGCTATTGCTGAGGGCTCAATAACATAAGGAATCAAGAGCAACAGTGAAAACTCAAGACTGTTTAAGACTTGATCAAGTGCAATGGCCACTTGCTTGCAAGCACATGTTTCCTCACCTGGGGCAAATGCAACTGAAGACCCTCGCTGAGAACAGGCTGGCGAGATGGTGTTTGGTCCAAGTGCAAATTGAAAACAGTGGCCAAGGCGGACTGTGCGGCCCGGGCCTTGGCAAGCTTCTTGTTCCTCCCTGAGCCCTCAAAGAACTGGCCATCCACTACCACGGACATGACAAAGCTCTTAGCGTGGCTCTCTCCGCTCTCAGAGAGGAAGTCATACTTCAGCCCTGGGCGCAACTCGTTCAAGATCATCACGGGATTCTTCCCAGTAGGGGGTGGGAATGGTGGTGGGATAGGCAGAGGAGGCTGGGTGAGGCTGGCAGGTACTGGGGAAGCTGACAGGCTGAGGTCTCCACTTGAGCTGAAGGAGTCATCTCCATTGGAGCCTACGTAGAAGGGTGGCTCTGACTTGTCTGGAGTCTCAAAGCCATTGAAGAGTGTGTCGGGGAAGTCGGCCTGGTCGGATGTGAAGTCCGTGTTCACAGAGAGAGTCCTTCCCATGGCCAGATGGGCCTCAGAGGCATTAGGAAACTGGACAAAAGACCTCAAGGCCTTCTCTGCAGCATGGAGTTTTGCCTTTTTCTTTGTAGGGCCAGAGCCCTCAAAGACCTGCCCATTCACCTCCACAGACATGACAAACAGAGGCGCATGCACGGGCCCAGTCTGGGATAGCAGCATGTACTGTAAGCCAGGCTTGATCTCGTTCAGCTGCATCAGGGCGTTCTTGGGCAGAACAGGCCCTGGTGTTTTCCTTCGCTTCTTCAGGCGGTATTTGGAGTGGCCATTGCTGCCATCCTCCAGGGGCCGCTTCCTGCTGGTGCCACCACCACCCCCATTGGAGAGCGGAGCGCCCTCAACAGGCCCAGATGCACTGCTGTCCTTGGGGGGCATGTTGTCCAGATTGCGGTTTTCCTTAACATCAGTGCTGCTGGAACCTGCGGTGCCCAGAAAGAGTAACTTACAACGCCTTCGTTGTAGGATCTTGTAAATGCAAAATTTATAGATTCCTTTATCTCTTTGTAGCTGGGTAAGGGATGTGTGTGTGTGTGTGTGTGTGTGTGTGTGTGTGTGTCCTTCCTCAATGCAAATGTGAGGAACTACACATTTGACCAAATACTTAACAGGTCCGGCCTGGAATGAGTGCTTTGAGATTCTACAGCCTCTTCTAGTCAATTCATCAATTCTTTTTGCATTAAAAGGTAAAATTAAAAAAAAAAATCTCTAAGAACATTTTAAATCTTTCAAGCTCATCAAAATGTTGGATGATAAGTTAATCTACAAAGACTATGTCTGATCAGTCCTTTGAACCCACAACACAGAGAGGCATTTATCTTATCACGTCCTTCCTTACCAAGGTTCCTGACCCCTTAAACTGCAGCACTTCTTAGAAGAGGAAGTATCATCAGAAATGCTCCTTCACAACTTAATAAGCTCTTTAGGTTTAAAATATTCAATCAACATATGTGATTATTTGGCTTAGTTTATGAATCAATCATAGAAAACTGCCTAGGTAATTAGGTAAAGTATTATGACTTTATAGAATTTACTTTTGAAGAATGATGTTTTATTTATGGTATCCACTTAAGACTTCATTATATTTGAGCACTGTTTGCCTCAGAATCCTTTATAAGTTTCATGCTAGAAAAAATATGTAAGAACAAGATATAAAACTGAAGTAAGCAGGCTAGGATATCCCAACTTCATAAACATGCCTGGCAATTCTGTCTTTTTAAAAACCAACTAATTGGTTAATTTTCCAGATTACCTTGGTTATCATACCTTACAAATGTACTTAACATGGCCAAATAAAGATGAATGGGAAATAAATGCCAGGCATGGTGATACATGCTTGTTATCCTAGTACTCAGCAGGAGGGTTGAGAGCTACAGGCCAAACTAAGGCCACACATAGACAAGACCTTGTCTCAACCCCCTCAAATAAAAATAAAACAAAGACAGACTATTTTTTAAAGGTAGAAGACGAATAAAAAAGTATCTATGCTCCTCTGAAGGTTTATTAAGTTTTCTGAAAAAAAGAAAAAATAAGTAATTCCTCTTTTATCACTGTTTTGCAGGCCTGTCGCATGAGGCTTTGGAGTGTTCGTCACTGCAGTGTTCACAGACCTCCAGCCACTAGCTCCCAAAATCTAAAATAAATCTTAATTGATGAAAATATTCCTGAATTTGGTGGATTTTGGGTCTATTTCTACTATGTAACAAACAGATTCTCTTTCTATTAAGTGATCTGAAAACACTGGGGATGCACATCAGTGAGCCATGGGAAGGGTTAGTGAGAGCATCCTGGTTGGTTAGAGCTGTTAATCTCTGGAGTTAAGGCTCACAGATGTCTAGGGCCACTGTAATTCAGTTGGAACAGCAAAGACTACCAAGATAAACTCAGTCCAGGGAATATCTGATCATGTGTGGGGTTGGGGGTGTCTCTCAACAGATACCTCTCTCCAGAACACTCCTGACACACACACCACTTCACCCAGCTGACAAAGCTGACGGAATGGGCACTAAATTTTCATTTATAACATCCTCCAGCAAAAGACCAGTAGGTTACTCCTTTCGGTACTCAGGGAACAAAAGGTTAAAAAGGTAGAGCAAAGATGGAATTGAGAGATTAATAGAGGAAGGGCGAACATCACAATAGCATTCTGCTCAGAGTTCAACTTAATTGATAAACAGAATTATTGGCACAGAAACTCAAACTGACAAGTGTGCTCTGACATGTACTTAGCCAAATATTAATGACTTCTGAACAGCCAAATGCCTTCAGAACTGGTTAATGATTAGTCAAGATTATAAGAAAAATATACTTTCTGCAACAGTTCACACTAATTCTCAATTCTTACTCATTTCAGAAGCAAAGGTACTGCTCACGTGTTATAAAAATGCTCCTAAGAAAACGAAAATAAAATACTCCAATGAGAGGAGACAGAAATGCTTTCTCTCTGCAGACCAGGCAGTTACACTCAGCATGTAAAGTGATTCACAGTAGGACTTTTGCTGCTTTTAAAATGACAGGAAACAGGCCTGGCATTTCAAAGCTTTGCATGAGACCCAGAGGCTTATCTTTCCAGGAATATTATTTTGGAAGACCCTTTCTCAATTAAATTGCCCAGGGTTCAGTGGGGATGGCCACAGCTGGAGGCATCCCAGTCCTGGCAGGTAGCTGTGGGGAAACCTGTGCACATGTCCCAGAAGGGATTACTGAGCTGACATAGTACAGGCAACACATCCTGAAATAGGCCACAGAGACTGTGGAAATGGTAAGTGAAGCTGCCCAGCAAAACACTCCAGCTGGGTTTCAAAAACATTTCAAAAACAGGACTGAAAAGTGACTAGTGTGCCATGGACAGTGCACACGTCAGCAGAGGCAAGAGCACACTGTACACCACTCTAAATAGCACTGGGTAGCTGCCTCATGTCAGCCTGTATCCATCTAAGGGCAGAGGATGTTTGCTGCACAGCCCACCCCAGAGCCCCTGCACTGCACACATCCATCATAGTGGTGAGGCAGACTCACAGAGTGCTGCTAGGTTCCACGTGTTCGAGAAATGCAGAGCCACAGATCTTGCCACTGGACTGCATGTGAGGTCACAGGAAGTATGCTGGGCCAAGTTCTCACATCATGATACTCCTGGTAAAACACAGTTCTGCTGTGGAGCTGCATGTTCTTCCTCGAGACTGAGCACATTAGCAAGAAAAGTGCTGTCTTCTAGGTAACTTTCCCGCTATGTGTGCATGTGGACCTCACTTAGACCTGTTTCTCTCTGGGACTGAGGGTTGGTGGGTTGGTAGAAGTGACTGGTGGTTCACAGAGAACAATGCCAAAGGAGGAAACATGGTGTGCCTGAGGGCCCATCCCCACAGCCCTGTGAAAAATGGTGTGGAGAGCAGAGAAAGCCCCCATGAGGGTTTGGTCCACACCAGCACCAATTTCTTTCCAGTCTTCAGAGACTAAAGATCATGTGGACTCCCTTCCCTCCAATTCAGGAGCAGCGACTGTGCTTGAAGGGAACTGTGTATGAACCGTTATCCCGACGACCAGGTATCTGAGTCAATCAAATGGCTTTCTTGAGTTTGCTCAGGTGAAAGTTCAGAGCTTTATTACAAGAACCAGGACTCCATACGAAACCACAGAGACATTACGAGATAGGTACCTAGAGGCATATTTCTGTAATAAAAACGATGGCCCCATGATGATAATGAGGAATGAAAACTCTAGATAGGTGGCTGCAAGGAAAATGTCCACAGTAAATACTGATGCCTATCATGTAAAATCCCACAACTGCCAACAGCCCACATCTTAGGAAAACAACAAACTGGTCATATTAATCAAATTACAAAACACTACAATCTTAATGGGACATAGACTACTTGACACTACGTGACAGGTCTAGATCTTACTCATATTCTCTTCATCTTCTATATCCATGGTAAAATACTTTCGAGGGTTTCTTGACTGGCGGAGACCACTTTTGTCTGAAAGACAGCAAGAAAACAATGTTTAGTGCAAAAGCAGGGTGGGATGACGTGTCTGCTCTGTGGAATGATCACCATATCACTGAAAATTAAAACCAAAGTCATCAAGAGTACTGGCTCTGCCATTCACAGGCTTTTTTCATCTCCTCCCAGCATGCTCTGGAGATGGGACACCAAAGGACCCTGGACTCAAATGACTTATCTGGAAAGGCAATGGAAGGCAAAGAAGGGGGTCACAGCAAAGGAGTCCTAGGGCCAGGGTCCAGGAACCAGCAGGCTTGCCTCCAGGGGGTAAAGGGCCACTAAGGACTCTGAACCAGGGACAGGGTGGTAGTACCCCATTCGGGCCTGCTGTCTAACAACCATGTCACAGCTGACCACAGAACCCAACAAAACCCAGTCTGTTTGCTATCTGGTCTCTGCCCTAGTAGACCTGCAGATGGGCTATTGAAGTGAAGTCACATAATAAGACCCGTGTCTCAAGTATTTTACTTTCCATGCATTGTGAGAGCACCTCACAGAGGAGAGTAAACACGTGTAATAGCTCAAAACCTAACCCAGTACCTTAGCCATGCACAATTTAGTGTTGGCAGGAGAAACCAGGGGAAAAATCCAAAGAAAAATTACTCCAACTGCCCAATAACTAACAAAATCAAGGGTTTCCTCTTCTCAACTATTTATTTTTATTATTATTTTTTTAGAAGAAGCATTTCATTACAGCTTTAACATACTCAATAACAATTTCCAGAGCAAAGATACATCTCTTTCAAAAGTGGCTGTAAATTTTTAGGTTCACAGTTGAACTAATACAGTTATACAATACTGAACTCAGTATAAACCCTGTAAGACAGGGTTTTATCATTATCTTTATTTTATGTATACGAGTGTATTGCCTGCATGTAGGTAAGTGCACCCATGTTGTGCATTGCCACAGAGGTCAGAAGAGGGCTTCAGATTCCCCTGGAACTGGAGTTAAGGATGGTTCGTAGCTGCCATGTGGGTGCTGGGAATCGAACCCAGGTCCTCTGCAAGAGCAGTCAGCGCTCTAACTGCTCAGCCATCTCTCCAGCTCCATTCCCAATTATTTCTGATATACTTTGCAAGGCTGTAATAACAGTCGACAATTAAAAAACAAACATATAAAATTACAACTAAGAAACAAGAGAGTTGAAAATCTTGAAACCAACATGGCTTTGTAAACAAAATTTGTTTTATAAATATCAATAAAGTAAATTCATTGCTTTTGCAAAAATAGTGATTAAATGCATTAAGATGTACATATATCTCATGAATCACATATGTAAAACAGAAGTGGATTTCATGACAATCATTTGTTAGTA